TCCCTCCAGCGCTGCTGCGGGTCTCCGATCCAGCGCCGACTCCTCTGAGCTTGCTGGCACTTCCTGTCCCACAGTGTCAGCATGAGGGTGCACGCGTCCAGACTTACCTTGTGTCTCTCCTCGCGTCCCGGCCGAGAATTTTCACATTTTCGGACGGGAGCGCACGGGGAAGATACAGCTAAGTATTAACCCTTGTCTAAGCGTTTGTTTTTTTTTACACTTTTTGCATATATCTGCTGCTTGCTAGCAGTAGATATATGCAAAAAAAACCCAGAGGGTTTAATAACCCTTTAACTTGACAATAACTAGGACTAGTTCTACAGTCTGACATCAGGCCTGAGAACTAGGCGCGCACACACACGTTTGCACATTCCTAGCTGTTTTTTTTTTTCTTACCAGAAGGTTCACTAATGTTCGCATTAAAAGGGACATTTTTATGTGGATTTAAAAACGAGTCAACTATGAACTAAAATGTCTCTTGTTTGTGTATTATTCAGCTGTAGATCCTTCGAATAATCTCTGAATTGGTGACGACACTGTCCTTCCTTTTGGAGGGTGGTTCCTTTTGTTCCCCATGGTCCCCGTGTGTGTTGTAAAGTAGCCACCGCTCCAAGCTCGCTCCTGTGATGGACTACAATCTCATGTTTAGTTTACTAATTTGTGTTGAGATTGTAATTCCATCACGGGAGTTTTTTGTTAACAGTTCAGGTACTTGAAAGGATTTTTAAGATTTAACTCCTGAGTTCAGTGTCACTTTAAGAGTTAAAGATATGCAGATAGGTAAATGGGTCTGGTGTCTAAATTGGCACTAGTATGTGTATGCATGCATGTCAGATAGACCTTGTAAGCTCCTAGAGGGTAGGAACTGATGTAGATGAATAGTATTGTAAAGTGCTGCATAAATTGACGGCACTATACAAGTCCCTGTAATAAATGATAAAGTGATGGTAAACCCCAAATTTAAAGCTGTCAATATAGACATTTTTTCTGGTGATAAGGAAAAGTGCACTTTCCTCCTTTTGGAGAGATTTCTTCTTACTTCCTTGTGTGTACAGGACAGTAAAAGGGAAAAACTCAAGATTGGGACACAAATTGAAAAGAAAATCTGAGAGGGGTTTTTAACTATTCCCTGTGTCCAAATATAGATATACTTTAGTACTTGGCTCTCTACACTGTGTCAGTATATTTATTACATATTTATATCTAGTTGAATTTACATTGGTTTGAGTTAGACCGAGGCATGACATTGTAAGCTGCTGGTAAAGCCTTAGGCAATAATAGGATTAAGGCTAAACACATTAGTGACGCAGTGTTTGAAAAACCCTCTGAACACCAGAGGTCAAATGACTTGAGAGCGGCTTGTTGACGTACGAGTATAAACCATTATTTGGAGGACGGAGCAGCACAGAGAATAGAAAATGGAGTTCGGTAATAATTAACTATACTTCTAAAGGTTCTAAATTATTAAGGTCACAGGAGATGTAGGATTTGAAGCACCACACCAATTAAAATAGTCTAGATACAGCTTTATTCCAATAGGGCGAGGGGGACATTCCTGTAGAGCAGCCAACGCTTTTCAGGGGCCCAAAACAAAAAACCTTCTTCAGGGCTTAGGGAGAGAATTGATGTATGTGGATCCCTGCAGTTTGAACATTGGATTGAGTTGTGATGCGAGTACTTCAGGTTTGTCAACAGCTGGCTTGGTGTGACACTTCGATTCGTACATCTACTGGTCCAAGGTACTACTATCGAGCCAAGGATATAGAGGAGATCCTATGGTTTGTGAAAGCTGCCTACCCGTTAGCTAGATCGCACATATTCAGGTCACTCAATTACTATTGGATGACAAACGCCAACAGAATAACCACAAGGGCCAGCGCTTTATTTCACTCCTGAAAATGCCCCGATACTTAAGGCCGATACCAGCCCCTTACATTTTTGAAAAGCAGCGGCTTTCAGAGTTGTCCGCGCTTGTGGGAAACTCGGCAGCCAACTGGGGACCTTCAAATAGCTGTACATGGCAGTGCCTGTCCGGTTCTATAGCGCCTCCTCCTTCCCAGCAGAGGCACAACCATGAACAGCCCCACACCGCACATTAGGACTACCCAACCAATGCCAGTAACCGATTGGTCCCTCTCCGGGCAGTCCAGCTCCCAATCCAGGGCTGAAGAGGAGAAGAGCGGGGCAGCGCAGCCATGACAGTGGGGCAGCACGCCGTGTCCCTAAGAGAGCAGAGCAGTGTGGCTCTCCCTCAGTGCAGGGAGGAGCAGCGTGGCCGTATCAGAGAGGAGAAAGCGTGGCCTTGTGGGGAGAGATGCCGAGTGGATCGACGGACAGCTCTGCACCGAGCCATGTTACAAGGTAATGACCCCAATAGTGTGTGCAGCCCTCTCTAACATGTCCTCCTTGTGACATTTCCCTTTATGAAAAAGTATCAGTAATTGGTATCGGCAAGTACCTGAGGGAAAGTACTTGGTCTTAAAAAAGTGCTATGGGGACATCCCTAATCATAACCATTCTAAGCAGGTTGCATGGGTTTGCACATTTCATGAAGGAGTGTCTGAAAGAAGAATTGGGGCTTGTGTTTTTGTTCACCTTAGAACAACTTTTCTCTCCATACAAATCCATGGAGAATGCAAGTCGCTTGAATCAGATCAAAAGCTGGTAAGAAGGGCAACAGAACTGTTCATTGGATTTGGAATAATCTCCAAAGTGTCTCAAACACTTGAGATTATTCAAAATGGAGATTATGTCAAGAGCAAACTCAAACCCCACCAAAGCCAATCAAACACAGACCTTTATTCTAATCCTCCAAAGCAACCGATTATATTTTCCTTTTCACGCATCTATCCACTAGAGACAAAGCAGAGCATCTGGTTGCAAAAAAGGTCAGCAAGGCAAAAAGAAAAGCTCTTCCTCAGGACAATTTCAATTTTAGCCGGCTTTATTTACCAAAGAGTTCAAGAAAAGACAATTCTCTGGGAGTTGGCATACTGGAAAATGTCAGTGTAAGAAAGGCGATAATCTGAGGCAACACCAAAAGACAGAACCTCCATCAACACGAATAATTGTAAATCAGACTTCTACCAAAATTCAATCCCATTGCCTTTGCTGTTTACATCCTGCAGGGGAAGGCACTGCTCATGTGATCTCATCTGAAGGAAACATATAATGTTCAGAAACAGGCAGCAAATAAGTGGTTCTGACTTAACGGCGAATCGCCCCTTCAAACAGGGATCACCCGATTGGCCGTCTGCTTTGGTCGTATAGCCACATACTGTGGGAGAACACAGATGCTGTTTCTGTAAAACATTTGTATTTAGGGTTTATGATGGTAAAGGCAGCAATGCAAGCAAGGTTATTTCAATGCAGGTCAAACTTAGCATGCACCTGTGAACAGCGTGAAGATCGTTCCTGAATTTCTTCCACAGGAAGCCAATATCAATGAAATACATTTTTTTTTTAAAGCCTAAACTTAAAGTTCTCTACAGAGAAAGCCTTTTCGGAGACAAGGATCATATATATAATTTTATTTTAATACTTATAACTTTTACAGCTTTTAAAAACATAATACCTCCGCACTGGTGATTGAAAAGAAAAAGTAATCCCTTTGACCGTGACGGCTACCATCTGCTTGGGCCCTAAATTCCATCTTCTGATTATTACAATACTGCAGGGAGTGTTTCACCTTGGACTTCAGGATCCGCCACTTTGCCAAGACTGGCCCACCTAAATCCAAAATTCCTGCCACTATGGATGCTGGTGCAACACTACAGTGATGATTTTTATATCTCTGCTCTGCTTACTCAAAAGTGATCCTGGCAGACCATTTAAATGTCCAGCAAGTTCTGCTTTAAAGCAGACATCATAGGCTGCCTGCTACCATCTTTGTTAGACAACCCTCATGTGTGCCTCTCGAAAGCTAGTCATTTATTTTATTAGGGCTTTGACTTCACGCCATAAACAGTTATTTTCCTGTACAAAGAATGCTCCTAATGGCCACTGAGGTAAAAGTCATTGGACAGAGGGATGGTAGTTGGTGGCATGGGAAAGAAGTCTAAGACCATATCATTAAATGAAAGTAGTGTTAGAGAAGCACACATAAAAAGGTTTTCTGGCTAATAAGCAGGCACCTTGTGCTGTTTCCTATTACAATGGCTCACAGGTTCACTTTAAAGTGAACCTGAAGCACTGAATATCTTTATATGCAGCGAAAAGCCAACAGCATAAGCTGTAGGTACAGACTTTTATAGCATATGCCGATGATGACTATTTGCATAGCTTAGCATGTGCTCTGCCCCATGCTAAAACATCCAGGGATAGATAAGAGGTGCTGTACTGTGGGATGTAAGCGAGGGGTGTACCTGATCTTTACAATCATGAAGTATTATCAAAAGATACAAATAGAGGTAGATGCTGATGGCTTAAAGTGACTGTGAAACCATTTCAAAAATTAAATATCCTGCCTCCCATACATCATATCTTTTCTCAAATTCACCGTCACAAACTTCCCATCCAATACTTCTGGGAGTGTTGCATGCCTGAACCACCCCATCACACGCCCATCTGCCAGTCCCTTTGTCACTTTTATGTCCTGAACTGACATAGGGGCTGAAAGATGGAACCACAGCACTTGGTGTGGTACCAGGCACCCAGAAAAGTGTCAGATGGTAAAGATTCTGCTGAAGGCAGCAGCACTTGAATAGAACGAATGGTTGATAGAACAGACAAGTATAAAAAGGTCTCATTTCAAGTTATTTAATATTTAAAATGGCGTCACGGTCACTTTAGGCTCCTAGCTTTTTGCTGCATATGTTGACATGTTATTGCTCCATGTCTGCATTATAGTCCATAGCAGCTGCAGGCCGCTGTGGGAACACAGACGCCACCTGACAGACACTCTCACTCAAATACCTCAAGCTGACTTTTGATACACAAGACTCTTTGCCGCTATTAGGCCTGGCCCCTGCTTCATCTGCTGAGATAATTCCAGAAGAAAATAAAAATAAAGTGTTTTATTTGAGGTCGAGGAGGTGTCTACTTCCAAAGTGGATTTAAGTAAAACAGTGTACAACGTCTGTAATAAAAGGATATATATATTTGTTACATCATCTTTACCATAGTTGATTCTTCTGCATAAATCTGTATTGAACAAAATAAGAGAAAAGAAAAAAGGTAGACGTCTTTACTGCAGCTTCAGGAATGTAAAGATCTATATATCCAAAAAGAATGAATTATTTTTATTCTTTTTTTTTACTATAAAACTAAACTGTCGGCGGAGTGTTTTTTTTCTTTTTCCTTTTATGTTTATTATCGTCCTGTTTTCAATCAGTAGTTTAATAAGAATTAGAAAAGACGTAGCACTGTTCAGTGTTTCTGACAAAGTAGAAAGGGTGAAGACATAAATAAGGCTTTAATTTTGGCAAAATATGATTACAATGTCTTCCATTTTATCCTCAGTGGTGGAGACCCTCAGCTATTTCATCCTGTGGAGAGACGGGACACAAAATCAGTTAGTTAAAAAAAAAAAAAAAAGATTCTATTATAACAAAATAAAAAGGACCATTTAAAAAAGGACTCTTAAAATGAACCCTTGCAGTGGGGCTACCCCTGCACAGCAAGGGTTAAGTGCTCATTTTGATCTAGGGACGACAATAAAGAAAATATACTTACCTGACCCTCTTCTCCCCTGGGCTCTGGTGGTCTCCGGACCTGTGACATCATCACATCTAATGCAGGTTCATTAGACATGAGGATACCAAGGGACATACAGCTGGAGCAGAGGGGGAGATAGGTGAGCAGTTACTGCTGCAGGACCAAGGATCAGGCGAGTGTCTTTTTTTGTCCCTACACCAAAACGACACTCCAAGGTTTAGTAAAATAAAATGGAGTAGTTCTTTTAAGATGAGCTCCAGGTACATAGCGAATATATAGATGAAATACATATATTGGAGTATTTCTGTTCATTCAGGGCATACAACCTGATTTTGCTTCTGCTGCAGATCAATAACGCTTACAAGGTCTTGTCCCTCCCCCACCCTGTGATTGGACAGTGAAAGGAGAAGTGGCACACTGATGAGTTAATCCCTCTGTCAGCAAATCCCTTATTAGCACATATGACTGGCTCCTTGTGCGGCTTCACTCCCTCCAAGTCTTAGCTCTTCCTTATAGGGGATGATAGCAAGAAGCTGATATCAGGTCAAATTCAAGTATTTACATTGATTGCATTTTAAAAAACTACATGCAATTATTTACTCATGAACATAAAGCGTCATTCATTTGGGCATCTTATATCTTTTTAATAAAGCACTTCAAAAGCAATGATGATGCAAACAGCACACTACCAATGACAGATGTATAACTCATCAGAATACCGGAAGAAGAAACCAGAGAGTCATAAGGTACATCCACGTTAGAGCAGCAGGACAGACTTGACGTGCAAAGGGCATAGACCTAAGTGCGGGAGAGACCACTGCTGCAATGTAGTGATATTGGCATACATTCTGCTGCCTAACAAATCTCTGGGTCCTTACTTCTAAATGCAAAGCCTGATTACTGCGCCACATTGGATAGATTCCCAGCACGGCAATCAGATCTCAGCTTACAGAGGCCAGATTATTAATTTAAGATCTTCTTAGATAGGTTGTGTCCAGAGATTGTTGCACAAGTCTGATTGTGCAGTGAAGGTACTCTGCAGATCTTCTATGACCCTACTCCAACAATCAGTTTTAGTGCAGGTGAAACACCAGGAAGGAGATATATGCACAATTGCCACAAGAGTGAGTCAGAAAAGAAACACGCCATTAAACTTGAATCTGCTGTATTGAAAAGATCATACATAATGAATAAAAAGTCAGCATGGCTCAGGGTGTAGCATTCCTCTCGCTACATGCCTGGAACATATTGGCTTTTCACACAGTACACATACGATTCCAGTTTACCGTAAGGCCAAGTAATTTTTTTGGTTTGCCATGAGCAGGTTAATGGTAGGAGGAGAGTTCAGAGTAAACGCCTCATCATTGTAATAATGCTTCATTGTCTGGTCAGTAGGCCTAACCCTTTCCCTGCCCGAGTATTTTTTTATTTTGCGCACACATACTACAATGCACAAACCCCAAAACATTACATATACGATTCCAAGTACAATAAAATGGTGGTAGTTAAAAAATGTTGATATTTCCCTTGATATTTGCACTGCTGTTTATAAAACCTATATTTTAGTAAAAATTACACTCAAATTAGTTTTAATGCATATAAACACATCATCATGTTTTTTTGGTGAGGTTGTGTTGAGTAAACGGAAACCAAATATGTCAACCCTTAAAAATTGTGTGGGCCCGTGAAAGGGCAGAAAATGACTACCCAAAATTGTCCATAGGCGTTACTTTGAAAGCCCTTACAGCTCATGAATTTGGAGTAAACCGTAAATGACAGCACTAGAATTATTACTCTTACTCTGGCATGCCTGGTAATTCCCAATATGTGCGCAGCAGCCATTTCTTGAACATTAATCTTATAATAAACTTTGTTTTTACTTAGTTTTAACTAAACTTTATCGCTATCACAAGGGGTTGACAAGCCCTCTGTATGATAACCATGCATGTGACAGGTTCTGCTTAAAGACATAGCATGGGTCTATTAGATCCCCAACATCACCCTTCTGCACTTCATCAGTTTCTTCCCTGGCCAGAAAAGCCAGGGGTCACAGTCCTGAACCCAGAAGTGCTCAGAGGTGAGCGCTTCCAGGTCCACTCTTCACAGGGAAGATAAGTGAACGGATGTTTGCTAATCTCCCACTTTGCTCCTGCTAGGTCATATCCCCATGTTCTTGATTGTACTAAAAATGCTGTCCTCCTAACCTTATGTTACCACCACTAATGTATTTAAAGGTTTCAACCATGTCTCCCCTTGATTCTGTACATATTATCCCTCAGTCTCCACTGATATGTATTATCCTTCAGACCTTTTTTATTCTTTTTTGTTGCATGCCTCTGGGCTCTATATCTATCCATCCATAAAACGCACACAAAATATACCTGAAATCGACAGCTGAAATCAGCTTTCCCTGAGCAATAAGAGCACCTGTTAGCAACCCTGACCGCCGAGCGGCAGGACAGTCTCATTCATACAGAGGCTGTGTTTGCAGAGGCCATAGAATAAAGTTCATAAATAAAGTGTTTTATCTACACCAATTACCTAACAGATGGGAGGAATGCATACATTAGTGGCCACTTATCTCTGGGTGATAAGGCTGGAGGCAAGGCTTGAAGGATAACACTTTGATATAATACAGTGCATTTGGAGATTAAAGAACTTTCTAAAAGCACCTTATTATCTGCCGCATTATTTACAAGATTCATTTGCAATTTCTTTAAATGACAACTTTTGCTGCTGTAATGTATTTCTGTTAAATCGCCCTACAGGGAATTTGATTTAAAGAGCAGCGCATCTGCTAGGAGAATCTGCTGGCAGGAGCTATAAGACCTGCTAGTTGTAGCAAGGCTTTTGAATTGTATCTTTCACTGCCAAGTCATCCCCATCAGACCTTTCAAAATCTCACGGTCAGTAAATAGGGCCTACTTGCCCCTCAGATAAGGGTGCAATGTGAAAGTACCACCACTGGGAAGCACTGTAACCAACGTTATGTTCAAAGAATCCGCATGGTTAACCCACATAAGAGAAATGTTAGGTCTTACTTGTAAACCTAGAACATATAGGAAAAATTAGAAATAATACACCACTACTGTACACTAATAAATACAAGATACTAAAATATCTACCGCTTAAAGAGACTGTCACTTTGCCCCCTTATGGAAAAGGAACAGTCTCCAGAAGGAACAATTCTTGACCTGCTGAAACTCACCTAGTGCTTCTGGGTAAGGGGAAGCAAGCATCTGCCTGCCCTTCCTGTCAGGATGCAGAGTTTGGGCTTAAGTGGCCAGTCGCCAAGCCCGAATATGACCAAATGAGGGAAGAAATAAGTAATTAACCCTATGTGCACTTAAGACACAGCATACATAGAGTCTGGATTCTTGGCTCTAATGGCAAACCGTGGCAAGGGCATGTATTAGTGAATAAGGGCTTGTTCTTTCCAAAGACCCCATTCCTTTGCCCTGAAAAGGCAAATTGTCAGATTTTAAAGGGCATCTGTCAATACCCAAACAGTACCTACGGGTTTCAGAACTACAGTATTTTGATGCATCCTGCTGCATTCTGGGTGCCACAAATCCTGGGTTGCTGCAACCAGGCCATTTCTATCTTCTCCGATAGTGTTAAGTGCTATCCCTACCCTGTCTAGCTGACCATCACTGGGCTAACAGGAAAATGCACGAGGCATAACAAGGCAGGGCGAAAAACACTACCAAGCAGCGTTGAAACATGAACGTTACAAAACTCAAGATTTGGAACGGCAGGGTTCAGAAGATAAGTGCAAGTACCATGTAGTGCTGGAATGAAGTGGAATGAAGAGGCTAAGTGGAAACCAGGTGCTGTAATCAAATGCCCTTGAAAACCATTAGCAAGTGCGACCAGCCAAAGTTTTAGCAGTTTGCTGGTCTGGAGCATTCAGGTGTGTGTTAACACAATGCCAAGGAGGAAAGTTATCAGCAATGACCTTAGAGAAGCGATTGCTGTTGCCCATCAATTTGGAAAAGGTTAGAAGCCCATTTCCAAACTATTTAAAGTCCATCATTCTACAGTGGGAAAAATTACTAGGTGGAAAACATTTGAGACAGTTGCCAATCTTCCCAGAAGTAAACGTTCCAGAAAATTCACCCCAATGTCAGACCGTGCAATGCTCAGAGAAATTGTAAAAGTCTTAAGAGTTACACCTTAGGTGCTACAGGCCTCACTTAGCATGTTAAAATTCATGACAGTACAATTAGAGAAAGACTGAACAAGTATGGTTTGTTTGGAAGGGTTGCCAGGAGAAAGCCTCTTCTCTCTAAAAAGAACATGGCAGCATGGCTTATTTTTGCAAAGTTGCATCTGAACAAACCACAAGACTTCTGAAACAATGTCATTTGGACAGACGAGACCAAAGTGGAGATGTTTGGCCATACTCCACAGCGCCACATTTGGCAAAAACCAAACATAGCATGCTGTGATTGGACCTTAAAAGGAGAACTATGGGGTTAAGGCTTTTCCCCATAGTTCTCCTTAGGGTAACGGGAGGACACAAACTAGCGTCCTCCCGTCACCCTAAGCTCAGTATACCGCAAGCTGTAGCTGTATACCGAGATGCCGCAGCGGATCCCGACAATTATGCCGGGATCCGCCCAGCTGCATGACTGACAGCTGGCTCTGCCTATCTAGAGGCAGAGTCAGTTGTACCCGCCCCTTCGCCCGTCCGTTCCGCCAGTCAGCGCTGGCGGACCGGAGCGTGGAGGGGGAATCCAGCCCCTCCCCTGTCACGGCAGAGAACGGTGACAGGATCGAGAGGTGAGCGAACGCCGGTATGTGTTCGCTCACCAACCGATCTACTGAGCCGACCTGTGACAGTCTCATTGCCACGGGTCGGCTAGAACTATGAGGTGAGTGAAAAGCACTCACCTCATAGTTCTCCTTTAAAAGAGCTGTGCATAAACAAATGCCCACAAACCTCAATGAACTGAAGCAATGTTGTAAAGAAGAGTGGGCCAAAATTCTTCCCCAACCATGTGAGAGACTGATAAAGTCATACAGAAAATGATTACTTCAAGGTATTGCTGCTACAAGTTATTGAATCAAGGTGTACTTCGTTTTCCACACATGGCTTCTCCCTTTTGGCTTCAGGTTTGTAAAATAAATACACGGTGTAATAGGTCATGTGTTCTTGTTCATCTGAGATTGTATTTACCTAATTTTAAGAACCGCAATAAGGACCAGATGATTTTTATTATGTTCTGAAACGCAAAACCATATAATTTAAAGAGGGTGTACTTACACTTTCACGTGACTGTATATTTCCACGAATATCCTAACATGAGGCCTCGTTCACACAGATAATAACACTTTATGTTTTACTATAAAGTACTATAAGAAATATGGAGGTTCCCAAATAGACTGTTGATGTGAGCGATTCTCTACTGTTCGGTTTACCATGATAGGAGATGGTTATGTGTATTATGCATACAATTCAGACAGAGCCTCCTCTCTCTAAATGGGTGCCAAAGGGTTAATACCCAACATATTACCCAGGAGGCCTTAAAACAAGGAAAGGTAAACCAGCCAAGAGACAAAATGATTCACTCATCATCTTATACCTATAATCTGAACGTTTTCTCGTCCCTTTGTGAGCTGCTGGTTCACTGCCTGAAGACGCTGCTGCAGTTGTGTGACAGTCTGGCTTAAATTTCGTGGCATCTTCTCTATCCTCTCCTGATCCTCCTGGGTAGAAGACACAAGTGTAAAACCGACATGTTACAATACTGTTCACAGTTCCACAGTCTACAAACAGTTGTTGGAAGAACGCCTGCTCATTAGTTACATAAGAGCTATACTTGATCAACACCACTGATCAAGAAACTGGACAAAGTAGAAACTGGACTGTGAACTTAACACATATATATACACACACATATATATATATATACATATTTAGCCCCCCACGTAATAGCAATAAAGTTGTATGTAAAAAAAAAAAAATGAAAGATTCATAAAAAAAATAAAGAAGCATAACATTTATTTTTTAAACATTTTTAGTCCGCGCCCCCCTAATACACACGCATATATGTTGCATATCGCCGCAAACGGAGTGAGAGCAATAATTTTAGAGCCATTGATCGACGCGCTGTAAAACGCCCTGCAAGTGAAATCCCATTATTTCCTGTGGGCATGGTTCTCTCTATGGTTCTATGCCCAAAGAAGTACAGGAGCTTCTTTGGGGCGTATTTCCGCGCGTATCCATTAGGATACAGCCGGATAGCCCTCGTAAACGCACGTTTGACGCGCGTTTTGTGGGCTGCAAGTCGCGGTTAACACATGCACCGCAAAACG